TTAGTATACTTGCCGTATGTTAATGCAATCAGTCCAGACCTTCTCCTAGCTCAAATACATTCGATGTAATGATTTTCCACGTTCTACTCATTTGATTTTGAATCCATGTACCAAATATATTTAATATAGCCACTTTGGTTGGATTTATATCACATACATCGAAATTGAATTAATTAGGTATATTTTAATATAAATGTCTCGGATATTAAGCAAAATGCATTAATGACACTAAGTGAGTTTATGAACTATATATGTATATAATATAAGTTAATAAGATATCAAATATGATGGTAATTCATTCAAAGCTTTTTAAAAAGTGCATGTCAATTTTCACGCAACAGTTTTTAATAGAAAGCGTTTTCCCAGCTTTGTACCTTACAAATTGCGAGAATGTAAAATGTTCGATTATACTCAAACGTAACCTTTCTTTACTTGATAAAATAAAGCGAACCATAACCTACTGGAACTGCTTTTAACAAGGTTGTCAAATATAAATAAAAATTAATAATATTTTGATAATTATAAAATTTACAATGACTTTGCAGTACTGTAATATTTTATATGTTTATTCAATATAAGTCCTTTGAGAATCCCCAAGTATAAAGTGGAATTATTATTATCGTTTTACTTTAACGTCATATAAAAATATCATTCATATGAGCAATTGTGCTTAAACCCCCACCACGTATTCTCAATTAGACTTTACAACAAAAGTAAAATTTTGAATGGCTGGCAAATGGCAAATCGTCGGTTACAACTGCCAGAATTTTTCACCAAATCCATTGCGCAAATTTCTGTATCCACCATATGAAAGATATTAAGAAACAATTGTAATCAGTCATACTACAACAATACAACTCAAGTATATGTATATAGTATAAGTTACAGTTCGTTGTTGGAGTGTCTAAAAATAGACATCTTCCGACCGAAATTCGAAATTCGTAAACAAATTGCATAGATGACACAATTATCTGTTTAGTGTCATAAAGCGTTAGTAAAATTTGAAACCAAACACAAAGTACAACCAAAAATTAAAAACGAAACACACAAAACGTAAATAAAAAGGCACAAGAAAAACAAATAATTTGGCACTCGCAAAAAATTGGTGCGAAAATGTCAAAAAAATTCAGTCTCGAGCACTTGAAAGATTATTCAAATTGACACTTGGAAAACTAATGAATTTCGCCTTTGTGTCTGACACATGCGACAATTTGTCGAGTGCGAAAGCAGAGAGTGTCGGTGAGTAACGCAACGAATGTTCGTGAACGTGCGAGAGTGTGGACTGGTCGATTCAAAATATTTTGAGTAAATAAATGTATTCATTGAAATGAAATTAGTAACGAAAAACTTTCATTTATTGACGAAATGTAATACACATCTATATTTTGTATATTTGTATACGTTTTTGCATTATTTATTTGAGTACTCATTAAAAACAAGATTTTGTTGTATTTGTGATACTTTTCAGCAACTACAAAATTTCTGGAAAATATATATGCCCACAAGGACAATTTTATTAGACTATTAGTTCTCTGGACATATTCTGTCTCTTAGTCGGTTTGAAGATGGCAACAGAAATAGCTCAACAGAATAGAAATTTTCAACTCATCGCTTTAGTTTGTGAGCACAGCATGCTTTTAGGCGCAATCGTTGTGGAGATTAAGTGAATTTGAATGTGCAAATGCTTAATAAATTAATAAGCATTGTTAAGGTTTTAGAACTTTGTGAAATTATAAAGTTCCAATTGTGATAGAAGTTTTAGACATTTAATTACTTTTATACTACTATATATTATTATACTATTATATTTTTGTTCACCTCATGATTGACGTGTTGAAACTTGGTACACGTGTTCCTGGGCGCATTCGGACTACTGCCACGCGCACAAAACGCCATTTATAGGAGCCGCAGTCAAAATTGGACTATGGCCGTTGCACCGCACACACCTTGATGAAATTACATATCTGTGGTTCTACTAGACCAATTTCAACGGTATATAACCTAATCCTGACGATCCTATGTCACATTGGAAAAATTGGCGAAATCGGAATACAATCACATATAGTACAATTTTAAATTTCAAATGATTCTTTCAATTTCTAGTTCAAAAGTCCAGCAGCAATGAATATATTCGGATAAACTTTGCACAAATAGCGCCTTTGAGGTATCTTTGCACGTTGCAAGAGTATATAATGTTTGGTTGCTCCCGAACTTTGTCCTTCCTTACTTCTTTTTAAAATAATTTAAATCAAAACTCACTTTCAGATTAAAATGTGTATTGTTTGTCAAGAAATTGTTTGTAAAGAAAGAATTTAATTTAGTTTTTACTAAATTGAGTATTTAAATCAGTTCGCAAGTGAGCAACTAACGAAATGAGAATGAAAATGAGATGTAAGAAGATAAGGAAGAGAGGTTAAGAAAGTGGAATTAGTAGTTTACTATATTCGGATCGACTATCTTTCATTAGACAATATTATTAATGATAATTAAAACGTACAGGGTCACTCAGAGACATGTGAGCATCTGTAGCATTTCTTACTAAAAAAAATTAAATCATTTCCATATAAGCATTTTTATGTTTCAGTTTACGTGTTTAGGTGTTTTATAAAAATATTACATATATTCAGGAATAAGAATAAGAACCGGGTAAGTCCGAAAGATCCTACCTCTCAGCAGGCAATGACAAAATTCTAACCGATTTTCTGTCACCACCAAGCTTCTTAAAAGTCCATTGTAGGTTTGAGATCGATTGAAACCTTATGAGTCCCTACACTTGTCGAAAAGCAAAAATTTGCTTTTCCTTTTATGGAGATTAAGGGCTCACCAAGTTTTTCTCGGTTGCTTTGAGATATAACTGTATTACATATACAGCGGCATTCTGATGCGGTCAAAGGAGGTTAAAAATCGCGACTATTAGGCGAACAAAACTTCAATATTATTGAGTAATGTTAACGGGCGTTCGGCTGCTGCTTTATCACCTGTTTGAAGTAATTCAATTTCGTAGTTAGAACACATATGCACATACGTAATAGTAGTAGTGTGTGGACTCTATTTTTGTTCAGTGTGAGTGTGTAATAGCATGATGTAAACACGGCATCCAAAGCGTATCTGTCAAATTTCGCTTTCTGCCATAAGTGACACAACAGTTGATAAATTCGGAAATAATATCAATGGCACTGTCTAACTTTAACCCACTTTCTGACAGACCGCAGAGGTACGGAGGGTGCATGTAGTCATCATTTTCATTTTTGCACAGCCTTTTCGCAACTTAAACAATTCGCATTCACCTAAATTTTCTTCTCGATATTTTCGTACACATACACACACTATGACATTGATTTTAGGGTTTGTTGCTTTTCACTGTCGGGTGGTTGTTGTTATACTCAAAATGCTCGTATTTGCAAGCACACCAACATATAAGAGTATATTGTCATCAACACAGCTATTTTCGTGCGCAATGTGCTAATATACAGCCATCATACATACATCACACTTACATACATATGAATGCATCATGCGACGGTGAATACTTGTACAGCGGTCATTAATTTTATGCCAGAGAAATATTATCGTTTGAGTGTTTTGAAAAATTATTGGTGTAGAACTTTTGGCGAAAACACGTCATTGTTAATTAAACCAATTTTTTTTGAATACACACATTATTAAAGATGTCGAGCTCAATTATCTATATTTTAGGCAAAATTTGTTAGCTTTGCGTAAATTGAAGCACGAAAAAAACCAATAAATAAGAAAAAATATTAACTTCGGTTGCTATAATACCCTTCACAGATGCTAAAGATTTCATGCAATACGGAGATTGTACTGCTGCCTTGGATAGAAATCCCAGCCAAATTTCTAGAAGATGTTTTATCAAACAAAAAAGTTTTTCTTACGAGAACTTAATTTTGATTGTTCAGTTTGTGTGGGAGCTATATAACATAGTTGTCCGATCTGAAAGATTTCTTCAAAGATTGAAGCAATGCCTAGGTAAAATTAAAGACACCCAGTGAGAACTCTATTACCTTAAATTTTGTTAATCTTTTGCATTCTTTGTTTAAACAAGTACTTTTATGATTCCTGATTAATTTTATATATTGAACGGCTAAAGCAAATACATTTGACCCTAAAAACCTTAATTTTATTGTCTTTAAGTAACGTAAAACACAAAATGTAATTCATAACACCAAAAAGCATGCATAATGACAAAAACTTTCGTGCAAGGCACATTTCCTATGACGGCATTACCATGGTCGATGTTGCTTCGTCACTGTCTCGACAACGATGGAGCGTAAGCGTACTTGTAAAGTAAGTTTACACAATTGTGCTATGAAATGCCGGCCACTACCCTGAATAGGATTTATTAAGTTTGCACCAAGTTTGTAACACCCTACGGAAACGTGGGAGGTTCTATAAAAACTATATATAAATGATCAGTGCGACGAGCTGAGTCGATTTAGCCATGTGTGTCTGTCTGTATTTACGCGAATAAGTCCTTCAGGTCTTGAGATATCGATTTGAAATTTCACAAATCTTATCAATAAGCTGCTCATTTGTCGGAACCGTCGATATCGGACCACTAGTTGCCTAGCATATAGTTGCCATATAAACTGATCGATCCAAATCAAGTTCTTGTATGGAAAACTTTTTTTTATTTGTGAAGGGAATTATAGCCTCGGTGCCACCGAAGTTAACATTTTTTCTTATAAATAAATAACGTTGAATTTGAAAAATTAGATAAGGGGCGTCGTGCAGTCCATTTGTGTGATAATATTTCTTTCTCATAAATTTTTACACCCTTTTACAAGTCTTGTTTTCTCGAACGCTATAAAAAGAAATATGTACCTACATATACCTATATCACTTGAAATTAAAAATATTTAAATGCAGTTTATAAAAGTGTAACAATAAAAAAGAAATAATTATTTTTTAAGCAAATATCAAGTTGAACAAAGCATAATAAGCAACAGATATTTAAAACAGCTTTCGGTTCTTCATTTTAATTTTATAATAACGTAAATACTTTATTTAAAGGATATGTATGTAAGCGTGAATACATGTTTAGAAATATAAATCTTCGTTTTAAGAACATCGTCGGTATTTTGAAATACTCAAATTCGTATCAATAAAAATGAATTAAATACAAGAAAAAAGTGTTCGTGTGGGTCTGTGTCTTTTAGATCAATTTAGATTTCTTCATTGGATTTCGTTTAATGTCGCGCTGGAGGAGAGCAGATACGTTTGCTTGCTATCAATGCGGCTGCATTTTGGCATGAACTTAACAGAACTCATGTTAATGTATATATTTTCAAGTTGTTTTATGCTAGGTGTAGGTGCAGGAGCGGGTGCAGTGTGAGGCTATTTGAGGTTTCGTTTTTTCAGATTTTCTTTTCAACTATGACTCTGTCTAAAGAAAAGAAAAAATATAAAAGAAATAAATAGATGAAATTTAAAATTAAATAATAAAAAACAAAATAATGAAAAATCAAGAATTTAAATTAAGCACGAATTCACCACACATTTACGAGGAGAAGCGGGAAACGAAAGGTGTGAACGCTGTATAGAAAGCAATACATTCAATCACGTAGATACACACATACATAGAAGACAAACAGATTACTTGCAGCGTTAATTAGAAAAGCGGATAAAAATTAGCGTCCTTGAGGATATCAAATGTATCCACTGTTGTTCTTGTTGTAGTGGTGGGGGTAGTAGAGGTGCGCGTAGCCATCATTACTATCGCTTCTGGTGTTGTTGTTGGTGTAGATGTTAAAGCATTAGCTGCTGCCGAAATTCTCGCTTCTACAGCGGGTGTGTCCACTTCCTGTTGTTTGGGTGAGCCTACAGCGGAGGACGAGGCACTGTTCAGCTCCTTTAGTTCGGGTGTTTCGTAGTCCAAGGAGCTGCTCGGCGTGCAGATGCTATTTTGTGGACTCAGCGTAGCGAGCGGATTAATGCTGATTGTGCCGGGTGAGACCGCTGCCGACGCTGTTGGTACTTTGAGGGTTAAATCGAAATAAGAGGAAAGTTCAGTTTCCTCCGCCGCAAGCTCCTCTTTAATGTCGGATTCCATTATGACAAATGTTTCCCTTGTCTTTTTACGCTTTTTGAGCTTCTTCTTGTTGGTAACTGTTGTTGTTAAATTATCTACCAAATTATCGGTTGTCTCTTCGCCCACAAGACTGCTACGTGGTGAAAACGGCCCACTGTTTATTTCCTCATTGGTCAAACTATTTCTCGAGTTGCGGCGGGAGCGCGCTTTTATGCGTTTAGGTGAATCGGTTTCAATACCCTCATGTATACCAGTGTGGATGTGTGACTCTGAATCATCATCATCTTTCGTAACAAATTCGAGGCTATTACATTTGGAATCCTTGCGTAATTTCTTTTTACTCTTCTTTTTCTTGGATTTCTCCAGGGATAATTCTGCTCCTTCCATCTGCAATGGCTCATTTAGCTCATTTGAGCACTCCTTCTCTTTCTCTATAGTTTCGGTGTTCTGTTGATCCTCATCAGCAACATAGCACACACCTTCCGCACCTTGGCTGAAAAGAGTTATGCTCTCACCACCAAGACTAAATTTCCGCGAATCCAAATATTGATTTGCGTTGTTCATGTTATCATTCATATTTATCTCCGTATCGAGAAATTGTGATTTATTGGAGTTCTCCTCATCTTCGTCTATTTTGAAATTCTTACGCCAGTTATACTCTCGTTTTGGCGTATAACTTAGGTCTACTTCAATGTCTAAATCTTCCATACCCTTAACATTCAGCTGCGGTGCATAGCCATACCGTGTGCGTAACCGCGTTGACTGTCTCTCAGCAACACTTGCATCGCCCAGATACCGCTGCTCACGCTCGCGGCGCTCATTATTTATAAGTTTCAGTGAAGACGTGATCTCGTTCCTCTTATTGGCTCCCTTATTCGTACGATAAGTATCGCTGGTAGCACTCACATCGCCTTCACTGCCATCGGCTGCGACCTCTTTATTCAAATAGCTCTTTTGCATTTCATTTAAAATGCTATCATAATCCCGTAGTATACCTGACTGTTTTCGATTCTTTATTGCCTCATCGTAAATCTCGTCGATCGCCACCGAATCTGAATCATAGTCCAATGCAGAAATAGTACCGCCAACGGCGCCTTCCTCATTAGCTGACAAGATCTGCTCTTCTAACAATTCGTCGATATTTTCTACACGCTGCCAGTCATCGGCATCTCTGCCAGCATAATGATCCATCTCACGCTCTGCTTCTTCGCATTCGGATTGCTCGTGGTGGGACTCATCGGCTGGACCACGTTCGTTAAAATCACAAATGTCCTCGTCTATTTCATCGTCTACGTCGACCACGGTTTGTCGCTCATCTTCGCTACCATCAGTTTCTTCCTCCTCTGCAACCTGCAGTTGCTCTTCTAATGCTTCTAATGATTCATTATAAACGCCTATTGTGGGGCCAATATTTGCATCTGTGAAAAAATTCAACTGATCAAAATCTTCACTGTAGTAGTCTTCTCTTATCCATGTGCGTGTACCGCTAGGCGTTTGTACTTCGATTTGTGAAACATAAACGAAATCATCATTAGGATATTCTTCAATCGATTGTTCCTGATTCAATGAGAAACGTCGAAAATGGTGATAATTTTCGGGTTCTAATTCAAAATCTTCTTCAAGCTCCTGTAGTTGAACTATAATTTCCGGTTTTTGGATAAGGGCTGAGTCAGAAGCCCTACGTTCATTATCCAAGAAACCGGCATTTAGATATCGGGAGAACTCTTGAAAATTAATATTTGCCTTTTCTAAATCAGTTTTTCTGTCTTGCAACTCGCGTTTTGCTGCTTCTTCCTCAATTTTAACCACTTCTTTAGTTTCGATGTCGCGAAGTGGCGAACGACTTTGGCTACGAGATCGCTGAAACTTTGCATTTATTCGTCGCAGCTCTTCGTACTCTGGATGCTGCTTGTCTTTTGACTTCATATCTCGCATCTCTTTGGGTTTCGCCCCCAAACGTTCTTCAACTGCAACTTGTTCTGAAGCCGAAATTAGTTCGGCCAATATCCTGTCCTGTACCTGCCGGCGTTCACCCGCTTTTTCAGATGACTCGGTAATAATAAGTGAGAGTGATGGACTACGTGAGCGTCGGAAACGTGCTGTCTGCTCACGTAATAGCATAAATTCACTGCCAAGATCCAATGATTCACCGACATAGGTGGAGCGCTTAAATCCACTTGTCAACATTTCATCCTTTATGCGCTGCACATCACTCCTCTCTTGCGATATGGTGCGATCGTAATCGGGCGTCGTCGGTGAGCAGCGTAGTTGACGCATACGTTCGTCTATAGACAAGGTCATCAAATTGTCCTTATCTTTAGGTACAACTGGTGATGTTGGCGTCAAGGTACGGAGCTCTATTTCTTCACTGGCGTTACTCAATTTGCGTAAAGCGTCTGCATCCACTTGGCGTTGCTTCTCAGCCAGTATGCTCTCTATTTCTTCGCTACACTTGGAAAGTGTTCGATTTTGTGAGGCTTCTAGATTTAACATCACGTGAAAGTCTATTTCTTCAAAAGGTTGTGATGGAGAATGCGTGCTGATGCGTGTGGGTGAAACGGAAACTGAGCGTGATGGCGTTCGTGACCTTCGTTCATGTTCATCTTCCCCTCCACTCGTTTGACTGACTTCCATTATACCTACGCGTATGTTGCTCGGCTCAGGCGTACGATTGCGTTCAAGATGTCGCATCGGTGATTTTGACCGGGAACGTTGTAAGCGTAGTGACTCGACCAAACTAGTCATACTCTCTACTGAATATTCACTTTTTTCCTGTGCAATATATGAAGACCTCCCTTCGAATTCTTCATTACAACATTGTATCGATATAACCGGTGCCGTGATTATTTTCCTCTTTGGAGTGTCCTCCATAAATGTTGGTACATTGATATGAAGCTGTTGAAAAAGTTCATCGTTGTGTTCTATTTTCTTCCTCCGTCGCTGTTCCAAGCCAGTTCTTAGGTTTTCTGCCGTTGGTAAGGGTGAACGAGACCGCGAACATGAACCTGATTTTGTTCTTTCCACGCGAAGAGATTGAACTAAGAGATTCATGCTCTCTTTTGAGTGCTCCTCCTCAAAACCTGTTAGAGAATCAGGTGAAAGTTCAATGGAAGACTCCGTTGGACTTGTTCTACGACTTATACTAGAATCTAAACCAAGCTTTTCACCTAGCTCATCATTTTGCCGAATACGTTTGGAACGTCGTGTTTCCAAACTACGTTCTATATTATCAGGAGTTGGAAGGGGTGACCGCGAACGGGATCTTGTTCGAGTTCGTTGGCTTTCGACTAATAATCTTATATCTACAGAGTTGAGTGGGGATTCAATAGTATTTGATGTCTGCTCGGATGCATTAGAATTATCCGATGATTGACGATTTAAAGCTTCAAAAAGAGCATCGTTGTGTTTAATTAACTTATTGCGACGCATCTCCAAACTATGTCCGAGTTGATCTTCTGTGGGCAGTGGTGAGCGCGAATGAGATCTAGATTGTCTTTCCACGCGTAATGTTTGGACTAACAGCCTCATTTCTTTATGTGAATCGCATTCCAAACCGTCGGCAACAAATTTTAATTGATCTCCAATTGTTTGAGACAATTTTACGCAGTCGTTTTGTAAAGATTCTATAAATTCCACTACATTTTCCTTCGTAAGCTCTGTTTCCAGTACGGAGCCTGTGTCATCATATATTTCCAAGGTCTCTTGCCTATCTTTACTAAACACAAATTCCACATTCTTTGGTATTGGCGTACTAGGCTGCGAAGATGCTGGCGAAGCTTGACGTGATGCGGAACGTGAACGGGATGGATTCACCGAAGCGGTAAAATCATAAAAATCACTGATCCCTTCCATTAGAAGCCCATATTGATCACGCCAAGGCGCAATGTCTGGTGATTTGTCAACAGTGATTGATGGAGTGGGTGTTAAAGCTTCTTCCGCAGCAAGCAAATCGTTTGTCTTGTTCCACAATTCTTCATACTGATCCATTTCTTCAATGCGCGGACTGCGACGTAAGCGGGGAGAAGCAGATTTATGGGAAATCGGAGAATCGGGTGATACTTCGTGTGTGATCTTAAGCTAATATAGCAGGAATAGCAAGAATGTGCAAAGCATGTATGTCCATGAATGAACGAATGAGTATGCAAGATAATTAAGCAGAAAAATTTATTGTTAAAAGCAATAGATGGCCATGTGATTGAAATTATATGAATGCAATAAAGGTACAAAACTTACATTCGATTGTATGTCTGCTCGTGTTGGTTCTACTGAATCTGACTTCTGCACAGCAGACTCCTGAAAGCAAAAGATGTGATTGAGATAATTATGAATATTGAAATTACAATCAATTTTGCTCACCTGCTCTTCCTTCGTCTGTTGTCGCTGCAAGACTGTTATAGCTTCCTCGTTTTGTGTATGTGTAGCTTCTTCGAAAGCTGCGGCCTGTGGCACATTTCTAGCATTATTGTCTTTTTTTGCCTCGGTTTTCGTGGCAGGAGGTTCGAGTTCGATGGCTTCCTCATCGATGGACATTGACTTCTCACGTTTCCAAAATGGCATATCCTTGTAGTGCTCAGGAGTAACTTCACCCCATGGATTGGTATTTGCTTCTTCGTCAAGCATCTCTAGTGAACCTCTTACATTGTTGTCGCTTGGTTTGGCATCTTTCGCTGGACTACGCTTGTGACGTCGTCTAGGCAATTTTACCTTCAACAATGGTTCACTTGCGTATGTGATTGGAGTAAAATCCGTATCACCCTCTTTCTTAGGTTGTAGTTCTTCCTCCTCTAGCGATGTGAACATTTTGACTTCCTCTTCCCGTGAGGCGCGTGACTCGAACGATGAATTCGAACTGCCACTGGAACGACGCTTTTTAAAAGCACGTCGGCGTCCAGAACCATCCTCACGTACCAATGGGCGTTGCTTTATGCCATCGAGTGAGCGCAAGTAGTCTTCAGTGTATTGTGTAGAGGCTGATGTATCGTTTTCTTCTCCACCGTCTGGTTCTTGTCGTTCCAATTGTGAGAATTGCACATCTATTTTATTCTCAGTTGTTCCATCTCTACCGATGTCATATTCTCCTGATGGTTGTGCACTTAACGAGCTCTGAAGCTCAAAAGATGGAGTATCATCGGATATACTCTTAAAGAGCAACGGCTTCGTTGATAAAGAATATGATTCATTGCTGGTTTGCCCAAACTGTGTTTTAACCGTCTGCGTCAAACGTTCGCCTCCACTGTCTGAGTTATCGGAGAGTGGACTCATCGTTTTTTTGACACATGGTTCTTCGAAAACTGGAGATTGTGGTGTACTCTCAGTAGCTGAGAAACGACGCTGCTTTTGTACGTTTTCCAGTAATTCTTCCATTTCATGGTCGGCTTCGAGAAACTTACGAGCATTCTCTTCGATTAATTTTTGCCTTTCTAAACGCTCTTGTGCTGCACGCTCCTCAAATTCTTTTTCACGTAAATTGCGCTCACTTTCAGCATCGAGCAGTTGCATTAAGCTGTCCAAGGTTTCTGGTTCGTCTACTTTCTTTGGATTCGAACTTGCATGTATTTCGTTCTTATAAACACGCTCTTCCAAGTGCTCTTCTGCATTTTCCTTAGGCGCCCAGTCTTCCAGATCATGGTTTCGCTGTTCTGCTTCTCGCAGTCGTTCCGCTTCAAACAATTTCCTTTCGTTTTCAATGGCTTCGGCTTCTACCGAATAGTCCATTTCCTTTCTAAGCTGTTCTAACTCCAGTTGTCTCTCTGCTGCTATAAGCTTTATTGTTTCCTCAACAGCTTCTTTTGCTTTGTCTTCTTGATCTTCTTCTTTTTTTGCACCTTTCTGTTCTGCCGCTACATTTTCTGCTTCTAGGTGCTGAAGTTCTGCTTTCGCTGTCGCTAAACGTGTAGTTTCTTCTCCTTGATGCTTAAGTTTCTCCTCCTCCGTTGCTATACGTGCGGATTCTGTTTTTTGTTGGCGCCTAAGTTCCTCTTCTTCTGACGCTCTACGTGCTTCTTCTTCCTGCCGACGACGCCTTTGTTCTTCCGCTTTTTTGGATTCAGCTACCTCCCACTCTTTACGTTCATTGTTTTCTACTTCTCTTCTGTGCTCTTCTTCTTTGCGCAGTCGCTCTATTTCTGCAAGCTTGCGTGCTTCTTCCATTGCTTCCTTCTGTTGTTCTAGCATTTTCTGTTGCTCTTCGCGCGCACGTTCCGCTACCAATAACTTACGTTCTTCTTCTTCTATTCCCTGTTGCTCCGCGAGCTCTTCAGCAGCCTGCTTTCGTTCTTCGGCTAATTTCGCTTCAGCCTCAGTCAATTGCTTTCGTGTCTCATCTTCAATCTTCTGTTGGCGTCTTAGTTCCAACTCAATTTCTTTTTTGCGCTTCTCCCGCGCTTCTGGAGAATTTTGTGCAGCTTTTAAGCGATCTATCTCCAGCTGTTCTGCACTTATTCGAAAGCCGTCTTTATAAAGCACTCCATCTTTCATGACTTCGGTACCAGCTTGTCGTTCTTTAGATTCTGCTTCCGTCAATTCACTGCGCATACGTTCCTGAAGTCGTCGTAGACTTTCTGCGTCATTTTGCGTTGCATTCAAGTGACCAAAGCTCCAATGATATAAATGGCGAACTACATAAAGGAATTCCAAGGCACCGGCATAACCGATGAGCACCGAAAACACAAGATCACCGAGTTCGGGCAACAGATCATCACCCATTTCGTATCGGTTTTATTTTACTATGAGTTAAATTCGAATTTTTTCGTCTAAAATATGAAGATGTCAAAAAGTAATTAAGTGTGCGATTTTCCTTCCAAGCCGCATAAGTTTTGCACAATAAAACTAATGCTTTCTGCGACCTTAAGACGCGTACGCATAAAAGGTATGACTAAATTTGTTTAATTTTATGATGCACTTGAGAACTGCATGCCAATAAAATTGTTTAGTGGGTTTGAAGAATTATAAAAAAAGAATAGTCGTCGGTCGAATTGAGAGCGTCAATCAGTCACAAGCGAGTGTGGAATCTACAAGCGCACAAAAATTCACCACCGAACCGAACTTTTTGCGGAGCTCACTAAAAACTTTCCTCTTGCAGCGCGCTCACGAGATGCGCGGTACTCCGACAGGCCACAAATCGTCACTAGCGCCGCCGGCTGGCTATGCAGGTCTTCACTGTTCGATGCCTGCTTGTGCGCGTAAATATTATGTAAATCTCACCACACCAGCTTCGCAGTTTCACTGATTGTGTAATTCACCAAATGAAAATTTTTAATTTTTATTCTTCATATGCTCAGATTTTATTTTTCCGAAAATATACAAACAAAAAATACTTTGTATATACACATTTGACTATTTGTACAGCACTTTGTTTTATTTTTGCGAAAATTCAAGTGCGAACGCCTTGGAATTTCTTGGCACAAGACAAGAAAAATATGGACGCTATTTATGAAAAGAGAATTTTGTAGATAATTCACGCCCGCGCGGCACTGCGTAGCATTCAAGGTTAACAATATGCAATGTGTTACAATTTATCAATTACTATTTGGAAATTAATTTTGATTGTTTCAAGAATTAAACAAGCACCGAAGACAAACGTCCGTAGATGATTAAGATAGAGGACTTCTGCGAGATCGACTGCTCGGCTGCTTTGACCACGAAATATTTGCAGCAGTGATATCAGAACGGCTTGCCGAACCATTAAAACTAATCGAAGCGATGATATCAGCGAGCGGCCAAAAAACCGAACTGTGGAGCGAACCGACAGCAGTTGGTTGCAATACGCGAAAGTTGCGTTTGCGATAAATGCAGGCGAAAGCCATACAAAATCAAAAAAACTTCAACGAATAATGAATCACGTCGCTGTCGAGTGAAACCACAACAAACCGCCGCCGCTGTACTTCGCCAAATAGCCAGCACCGAATGGAGGAATGCGAAGTATCGCTGTAAACATTTCAAGAGATTAACGAATTTTTGTTGAGTTAGTTGAATGCCGTTCAATACGCGTATTTGAATAAACGAAAACAACCAAAAGCGGATATTGAGTGTTGGCGCGCTGCTCTAGAACAGACAGAAGTTGCTAACTAACAGTCCAACGCGTAACAACTGACTTCAGCCGAATTGAATGTTAAACAGAATAGAAGAAACGCATTGTGGGAGTATGGCATGCAACGCGTCAGCAGATTCGTAGTATAAAGGAATATTAAGTATGTAAACGCTAAATGCCAAAAGCACTCACAGACTGAGTGGCAGCGGCAGCGTCTGTGGTGGGGACGTCACCGCCAAAGTGCGAAGTCAATGCTCAATTCTTAGCACATAGCATGGGTCAACGCAACTAGCCAACTAACAGCTGGTTTGCGTCATCGTTGGCACTTTTTATACTCTCGCAACCTGTTGCTATAGAGTATAATAGTTTTGTTCACCTAACGGTTGTTTGTATCACCTAAAACTAATCGAGTTAGATATAGGGTTATATATATATAAATGATCAGGATGAAGAGACGAGTTGAAATTCGGGTGACTGTCTGTCCGTCCGTCCGTCCGTCCGTGCAAGCTCTAACTTGAGTAAAAATTGAGATATCTTTATGAAACTTGGTAGACATGTTTCTTGGTGCCGTGAGACGGTTGGTATTGCAGATGGGCGTAATCGGACCACTGCCACGCCCACAAAACGCCATTAATCAAAAACAAATAACTTGCCATAACTAAGCTTCGCAATAAGATACAAGACTGTTATTTGGTACACAGGATCACATTAGGGGGGCTCTGCAGTTAACCTTTTTAAAAAGTGGGCGTGGTCCCGCCTCTAATAGGTTTAATGTGCATATCTCCTAAACCGCTAATGCTATAATAACAAATTACTAGAAGCAAATGTTTTAGCACTTTTGACGGTGGGAAAATAGTTGAAATCGGGTGGCAACTCCGCCCACTCCCATATAACGGTACAGTTAAAAACTACTAAAAGGCGATAAATCAAGCACTAAACACGCCAGAGACATTAAATCTTATCTCTGAGATGGTATAAGATGACTTTATGGGAAGCGTTCAAAATTAGACAGTGGGCGTGGCACAGCCCACTTTTAGGTGAAAACCCATATCTTGAGATCTGCTCAACCGATTTCAACCAAATTCGGTGCATAACGTTCTTTTCATGTTTCTATGTCATAGTGCGAAAATGGGCGAAATCGGACTACAATCACGCTTACTTCCCATGTAACACCATTTTCAATTCCATCTGATTCTTTCACTTTCCACTATGCAAATCAGGTAACAATGATTATATCGGGGTAAAACTTTGCGTGAATAATGCAATTAAAGTATGCCACCTTGCGGCCAAAAATTGTCTTAATCGAACCAAAACTGTTTAACCCCTAAGTACTAAATATGTGGACCCCAGTGCCTATAGTTGACCTTGTACCGAAAATATCAGTCAATCCACAAAGAAATCTTAAACGAGTATACCATTTGACTTTGCGAGAGTATAAAATGTTCGGTTACATCCGAACTTAGCCCTTCCTTGTTATTTTTATTTTTGTTTTCCTTTTATTGATGGTTTTGTGATTTTTCCTTTCGCGCGAACCGCTTCTATTTATTGCTGACTTTTCGTGTTTTAAGATAATTCGCTTTTCGATTTGTTGTCTCAAATGTATTTGTTATTAGGTGTTTAGCTTCTTTTGAAAATATTATATACATGTATGTATATCTTTTGTATTGATTCGGTATAAGTGTCCCAGTTGGAAATTTGTAGCAGCTAACGTTGAGTTGAGATAGTTTTTTAAAACATTGTGAAATAAATATCTTGTGGGAAAAACTACTTTCTGCAGGGCTACCGTCCATCTTTATTAATACATTTTTTTTGTATTATTTTTTTAAATATTAGTCTAGCAAATATACCTCTTATTACTAAGTTAGCGATACTCAATCGGTTCGGAGTGTCCAGAATCAAAGAAATACTACTAATAATATATTGGTAACTTTGCCAATATTTTCTGACATGATATGTATGAATCAAGATTATTACAACTCCATTCACATTTTACCGGACAACAATGTAGGGCTCGTTGGTTTCCTGCTGTTTCAGTAGACAGAGGCGCTGCAATTCGCCCACTCGCACCGATTGCCATTCAGTTACCTGCACCAAATGCCAAAGGTATTTAGTATAGCTGTACTAATATGATATCATCCAAGATGAGTAAGTACTTATATATTTACTAGTAATTACTGTTCGTAAAATTAATAGTGAAAACGACTGCAGCTACCGTTCCACAAACGAATACCAAATTGTACTTTACGAGAGAATATCGTCTACCTACAGCAGTGCTTTCATCTGTATTATCGAATACTATCAATCTTTATTTTATTAAGTAGAAATGCCAAAATCAAGAAACTGCTTAAGAGCTACATTAGTCTACATTATTTTGCGAATTTTAGAGCTTGAATACATTAAACATATTTAGAGAAAAAATGAGTTCATTAGGTTTTACTTATCTTCCAATGTTTTTAACTGAATATTTTGCCAAACTGATCTTCAAAAAATAGTAGTTAGTCAATACATTTATTTCAAGATTGTTTAAAATTTTCAATATAAATCAACTTGAAATAGTGAGTCAACGCACAGAATTTTAGTAATTTTACGACGAACGTACAAATTCAATCAATTTGATTAACATAAGTATTGTAAATTCCAATGAAAATCATTGTTTTTAATTTTACGATTTCTGTCAAAAATTTCAGCAATGCTGTCAAATATTTTGAACTGTGTTTCCCAAAACGTAAACTCAATGTTGTTACTATTTCTTTAGATTTCTATAAATAAAAATCCTGTTGCAGCATCCAACACAAGTCTAACGGCAACTATGGTATAATCCACTAGCCTTCCGATATAAGAGTGTTATTTTTCTTTATTGAGCGCAATTCTTGTTTGCCTGTAGATGTAATTTTCAGAAAACTAGCGCTATGTTCGGCATTAAATGTATTTTTCAGTATTTGACAGCTAAAAATTTTCTAAGTATGTGTAGTTTGCTCCATTGTAAAAGAGATTATATACAGATTACAGAAGCTTTTTTAGCATAAACATCAAAAATTAATATCCAAGGAATTTAAAAAGTGTTCAATTTGACAATTACAAAGAAACACGGTCCATATAAACAAAATATTTCTCCTCTTTGCAATTAAATAGAATTTTCGAATTTTGTTATAAAGTAGGCACTGACTTCTCAAGATATGGGAAAGCTTTGACAACAAATCATCCCAAATATTTTAAAGTGTCGGCAAAGAAGTTAAATAGTATAAAATTCTACTCTATGACTCACTGGTGTTATACAAGTAATTTCAAATCGATGCAGGCACAAAAGTGTAATATATAAAGTATCATATAAAAAGAAGTACAATAATAATATTTAGACATACATTTTTTGAGAATTTTTTTCAAGGTCTGTCGAAAGTGTCAATCCTTAAGAGCTTGTGTAGAAAGTGATCGCACCCTTTACAGTGATCTGAAGCAACAATAACAGAAGAATAGGACTGAACTTGAAAACGATGCCAATCGCCACATGAGGTTTTCAAGACGCGGACTGATAGCTGCTGCTACTTTGTTCGAAATTTTGGCATGAAATGTAAATAAATAGAAACAAATAATTTCAGTGAGAGCACTAATAGGTACATAGAAATGCTCGCATTCGCCCAGCACCCTTCAAAAGTGCCACTAATTACAACGAATTTGAACGTGGAAAAATGTATTTCGTAGAAAACAGGCTCATTTACATAGTTATAGTTTCAAAAATATCTTAAAAAAGTAAGGAAGGGCCAAGTTCGGGTATACTTTTGCAACTCGCCGAGATCAAAACTGGGGAAATACCTTCAGGTGCATAAGGTTTATTAGTTATGTGGGGTCTACGGCAGTTTTCACCCGTTTTATCCATTTTAGGAACAAAGATGCACCGTTATTAAAACACTACCTTCTCATATTTAATAAAGATAACTCACATATTTGCCAATATATACGGTATAAAGTCAACCGTAAGTTCGAAAATTCTATTAATTATATGGGGGCTAAGAGATTTATTGATCCGATCCAACATATTTTTATATGTAGGCATACTATTATTAGACAATAATTCTTTCTGAATTTCTATAATATACGAGTATCTCATAGATTGACCGATTTTCGGTAAAAAGTTCGTATAAGGAACTGGCGTCCATGTAATTGGGGCTTGAGTAGTTTTGATCCGATTTCGACAGTTTTTTGTCTTAAGGTGGCACAACTCAAAGGCACTATTTGTGCAAAGTTTTGTCCGAATATATTGATTGGTTTTGGTTTTTATACTGGAAAGTGAAAGAATCAGATGAAATTTAAAATTGTGTTATATGGAAAGTAGGCGAGGTTTTAGTTTGATTTCGTTCATTTTTGCACTGTAATGTGGGAATGTCAGGATATTACTCACCGAAAAATCGGTCAAGTAAGTTTCCAGATATGGGGTTGCACCTAAATGTGGGCAGTGCCACGCCTATCGTTAAATTTGACACCGGCTACTATAAAACGCTTTTGTACCATATCGGGTGTAAAATTTCATGTCTCTAGCGCATTTAGTTATAGATTTATCGCACTTTTAGTAGTTTTTACCTAAGCTGTGATATGGGGAGTGGGTGTAGTTCATCCATTTTTACAGGGTGCGTAGAAATGCTAAAAATATTTGTCTTGAGCGAATTTGGTTATTATAGTACAATTTGTTGTACTTACAAACTGCCTTGTATTTTATTGTAGAGCTTAGTTATAGCTTTTTATTGGTTTTCCATTAATAGCTTTTTGTAGGCGTGGCAATGATCCGATTCTGCCCAACTGCAATACCAACCCTCCTTGGGTGTTAAAGAACCAAGTCTCATTAAGATGTCGCAATTTTTACTCAAGTTATCGCTTGCACAGACGGACAGGCAGACAGTCATCACAGTCAACTCGTCTCGTCATCCTGATCTTTTAGGTATATATACATATATGTATATATAACCCCATATCTATCTCGATTAGTTTTAGGTGATGCAAACAACCGTTAGGTGAAGAAATTATTAT